TTAATTAGTTCACCTTTCTTGTATATTAGCTAGATGAAGGTGAAATTGGAGGATGAGAAAGGCAAGGAGAGATCTCATGTGATATGGGTTACTTTACCTTCCCAACTCTTTATCTTTGTAATTGATTCTAAATTTAGTTATTATACAAGTTTGAATTTTGTCTTCGTTATGTGTTGCTAAGGTTATGCTTAGATTTATGAATGAAACTTCTAAATCTTATTAGTGATGTTTATTTAGTTACTTGATGCTATTACTTTGAATAAGTTATTTAGCACTTTTGCTTTTATAATCATGATTAACTGGCCATTAATTGTGATAATTTTAAAGTATTAAATTTGTAAAGAAAATTGGGATTTGGCACTAGTTTAAGGAAATGCTAAATCTAGGGAGTATACTCATGAGTGTAGAGGTGTGCCTTTATGACTTTGGTGACTTGTTCCTTGTAATTTCATAGAAGAATTGAATTTGCAATTAATTTCATAACCACGAGAATAAGTATGGTTTAGTTACAAGTATAACTGATTCACTACAAGTGTAGGCTTCATATGCATTAGGAAATTATGTTATACTTAGCCAAAATAATAACATTCAATTGACCGGTAGATTCACTTGCAAGAGTAGTTGAGAATTCCATGATACTAGGAGCTTTTAATTGTTGTTTTTACTCCTCTTATTTCATGTTTATAGTGTAGATTTATATTCATGCATTTGTGGTAGTCTAAATAATAAAGGAGTATGAGAATCACCGGTAATTGATTATTTTTTCATGTGGTATCGACATCTAATATCATTTATGCTAGATAAGCAATCTGTATACTCATAAAAATTAGTTATTTAGGCTATTAAAATTTGGTGCATGGTAGAACCTCATCAAATTTTTGGTGCTATTATTGGGGACATTTGTGACAATATCAATGTGAAGAGCGCTTTATTAGTTTAGACATTTTACTTATTTTCTTGTGTTTGTTATGCCTAGTTTCCTTGTATGTTTATTAAGTTTTTGTTTGTGTGTTTTTTGTATGTGTCAAGCCACCTATTCTGCTTGACTAAACTTATTTTTGAATTACTTTAAAAGTATGTTTAGGTATTCAAGGAAAATAGTCAACATGGACGGACAATGCATAAGAAATGAAAGTTCGCCAATAGACTCTTATCATGTGCAAACATTTATGAGTAGAGTTAATCAAGAAAGTACCGCAAATATATATTTTGAAAATGGTTTAAGGAGTTTAAAGGTTAAACTTAATTATATAATGTTAAAAATTCAATTGGACACTATTATTCATATGTTTGAATAAAAGAGGAATGTTAACACTTTTAATTTTAATCATGTTATTTGTGACTTGTGTGGAAGTTATCATGCAACTTATAAATAACAAACACAAAATGTGGATTATTATGATCAATTTGAGTATTGCAATCCTCGTTTTGATCAATATGATCTTACTTGCATAATTTTCATACTTGTGGTTGGAATAATCAATATGCTTATAATGATTCTTTATGTCTTTATGATGATTTTCAATCCAAATTTATCCAACATGTAGGTAAACTATCGTGGGAACTAGCTATTCAAAGGATAGCTAACGGATCTAAACCCCCTTGGAAGTTAGTTATTGAAAAAGTAGCTAATATGATATCCAATCATTTTGATAGGATTGAGAACATAATAGATGAATTAGGTTTTCATTTTGATAGAATTCAAGACTAATTGTATGATTTGTGTGAAGTTATTTTATATAATAATATCCAAATTAACCCTAATATGAATGGTGAGGATGTTGTATGTGAAAGTGAATTGTATTTTGATGAAAATAATGGATCTAATTTATACTTCAATGAGGAAATATCCATTTCATATGATCATGCTTTTTGAACTAATTTTGAATCTCAAGAGATGAGCATCAATAATTCATATTTAACACCTCTTAAGAAATGTTTTAAAAGTGTAAGTTCTAAAAATGTTGCTCCCCTAAGAAGGTTTTATGAAAAAAGGTGTGCCAAGAGTCACTAAACTTTTATAAAAAGCCTTACTTATCACACACTATACTACTTTACATCCACGAAATAATGAGATAGCTTCGCAAGTTTAGTATGTGGCTCGCGTGTCATGAACTCTGTCTATTTTAGAATTACCCAATCAAGCACTTTTAGTGTTATGACTATGTAAAAGACTATTTAAAAGAAAAAAATAAAGCAAATCTTCTCTTGCTAGAAAAAAGAAAAAGATGATAAATAAACCAGAAAAATTTTGTTTAATTTTGGCAACGAATCATGTGAGTCAGATTACCTTAGACAAAACTGAATGTAAGCAAATGTTTAAGCATAAATGTTTTGGATTAATTTATATACAATGTCAGTGTATATACTATCACCATTAGATATATAATACATATGCAAAATTTGAATTTAAAATTCAAAATTTGCTCATAAATCATCCATCTAATCGTAATAGTGTATACATAGACAGTATATATAAAATTTACTCAAATGCTTTTCCTCCTCGTCTTGTCTTCCTTTTCCTTCACAAATTTGTCTTTCCAATTGCTCCAACAATTTCCCCAACAAGAAGAGAAAGAAAGCATGGAGTACGTACCTTTGCATCCAATAGGCAGATAAGGATTTCCTTGGTAAACAGGCAAGCTCAAAGAACTCGTACACCTCCAAATCAAACAATGTAAAAATAACATTATAAAATGAAGTGTTACATCTAAGCACAAAGAACTCGTCAAGGAAAAAGCCTTTTATGCCAAATGGATAAGGAACTGTCATATTACCACATTTCTCAAGACAACCAGCCTTAGCTACAGAGGCAGCAGCTTCATATGCTAGGGAAAATAGTGAGATCATGGATAGAAGATGTAGAGATGAGTAGATTATCCTTTCCATATTCAGCTAGCCAATTAGACATGTTTGAGCTGCAGCTGAGCAGCATGGTCAAATCAAGATTGAACACTGCAAATTGCCTTTATTAAAGTAATCAAATGATTGTTGTTTATGGAAGTCTGTGTCAAAAGAAAAGGCCTGTTGATTAGTCGTTGCAGCAGACAGTCCGAGGGTTGTGGAACAAAGCTGATTGATAATAAAATAGTATAGATTGCTAGGTCTGATCTCACAAAATTGATAAAATTGTTATTAATAACCAGGCTTAGCTATAGAAGTAGCAGTTTCATATTCTAGGAAAAATAGTGAGATCCTGGATAGAAGACGTAAAGACGAGTAGATTATCCGTTCTTCATACGACTTAGCCATGTTTGAACTACAACTGAGCAGCATGATTAAATCAAAACAGATAGAACCGTGGAAATTGTCCTTATTAAAGTAGTGAAACTATTGTTGTCCATGGAAGTCCACGTCCAAAACAAATGGCCTGTTGATTTTTTTTTTTTTTTGGCAGCACGAAGTCCGAGGATTGTTGGACAGAAACGATTGATAATGACCAAGCACACATGCAGACCTTCTCCATTAGACGGAAAAAGCCTGTTACGTACCTTTGCATCCATTACCGGTATTCCCCACTATTTGTGACTTTACTGCAGTAATACTAAATCATAATTGGCACCATTTTGGGCTTAGTTACTAAATTATATTACTCTTAAAAAAAGAAATAAATAATTTGTCATGCGACTATTTCATAACAATTCCATTTCTGTCAAGTAGAAGGTCCAATTAATGACCCTAATATATATATATATATATATATATATATATATATATATATATATTTGTGTGTGTGTGTGTGTTCAGCATAGGCCAAAATCTTTGATTGTACTTTTTGACCACTAAATGTTCTTCCACTTGGGATCACCCCTCAGACTTGCAAAACTTTTTTGGCCCTTCAAGTTTTAGAGTTAAATCCTTTCCTTCTTTCTTTCTTTCCTCTGTATCAGTTCAAACTCACAAAACTCTTGACTTTTGGACCTTCAAGTTTCATAGTTAAATCCTTCCTTTCCTCTCTATCAATTCGAGGGACCTTTATGTCTTTCCATAAAAAAATAACCGAAACAACACCAAAGAATCCATATCTTTTTTCCCCTGTTCCATCGGATACAGTGTAATTCATTTTGTACTTGCCCTGATTGAATAAACCTGTAAGTACCGAAACTTTGATACTGTGAGAAGTTGCATCACTAAAATCAATGGTATAAAGAAAGGCAAATTTGAAAAGAGATCAGCTCTCAATTTTTATTGATTTGTTTAATGAATAAAACCAGAAATTAACCACAATTGAGGACGCAATACATCCAGGAGTTTTGAGTTTAAAGATGGAAAGGGAAAATAAATAAGTTAGGAGGGCAAAGTAAGATTTAAGCTGGTAAAGAGATGATATGCAGGGGTTACATGCATCACATATATCAATTTTCCTCTAGCTCTTATTGTTCATTAGGAGTTGATAGCGAATTGCCCTATGTTAATGAATCTTACAAAAAACCCCTTATAACTAGCAATTAGATATAGTTTTGGCTGTCAAAAGACAATCATGCTCTTGTTGAAGAATATTGTCACATGATCCTTTGGTTTTTATTTTTGTTTCATTATTATGTTAATATTTCTTTTTCCTCTTCTTCTAGTCCCATTATAATGTGCATATTTTGGCAATTATGTGAACCATAATTTCTTTTCACACTTAAATATTTATATCAGTATTTTCTTATAAAAATGTATTTAAGTATCTTGAAGTATCATAAGAAGTTAAAAGTATTTATTTAATAAAAATAAGTTAAGCCACCATAATTTATTAAAAGTATTTTTTGAGCATGGGATGAATTGTTACATGCCCCTAATTACAGAGTTGCAATCTAAAATTAAGCTACCATAATATTCTCGGTTTTTGTTTCTTTTCGTTTTGGCGATATCTATGCAATAAACAACACCTTAGAACATTTAAAAGTTGAACATATAAATCATCCAAGGCTAAACTAGTTCAGAAATAGAAATTAATTATAAAGCACAGTAGAGAATTAATATCTAATTATCTATATTAGATTATTACACTTGACAAAGTCCCAAAACTACCGAAAACAGAAGAATTCAGACACGAGTGATGAATGATTCAACAATTTACAGAAAACATGCAAGTATGCAACAACAAAATCACAAGAGTTCTTATACTCTACAGAAAACATCCAGCGGTGCATCTTCCTCTGGGCCATCTTCAGTAGTTAAATCAACATTGCAACTATGAGATCTTTGACTCACTGAGCAGTAACCACTCTGAAAACTTTCTTTACCTATTGACCCTTCTCTTATCCTCCTCAGTTGATCAAGTTCAGCAGCTATCTCCTTCATGCTTGGCCTTTTTCTAGCATTGAGTTTTAGGCATCTTTTTGCAAGCTTAGCAACCGCAAGAATTTCCTCATCTAAGCCTTCATCTGCAACTATCCTGTCCAAAATTTCAAACAATCGGTTCTCCTCTATTGCAGAACGAAACTTAATAACCAAACCTTCGTCAGATTTATCAGAAGACACAGCCTTTTGGCCTGTTAGAAGTTCGGCAAGAACTACACCAAAGGCATAAACATCACTTTTGTCATTGAGTTGCCCGGACTGGAAGTATTCAGGGTCTAGGTAACCAAATGTGCCTCCGACTAGCGTAGTTAAGTGTGTTTTATCAGTAGGTACTGACCTTGAAATCCCAAAATCAGTGACAACAGCCCTGTAGTTCTCATCCAACAATATGTTGCTTGACTTTATATCCCGGTGGAAAATGGCTGTAGAAGCATATGAGTGCAAATAAGCAAGCGCCCCCGCAACTTCTGTGGCAATACACAAACGATTGTCCCAAGTGATCATCCTACCACTAGGATCATCATGGAGATGGTGCCAAAGGCTGCCATTTGACACATATTCATATACAAGTAATGGAACTTCGGTTTCCAAACAACAACCTAACAATTTCACTATGTGTCTATGACTTATTTGTGAGAGGATGACGACTTCATTAACAAACTGCGACACTTCTTCTTGATCAATTTTGTTTGATTTTTTCACAGCAACAATAGTTCCATCTGATAGCATTCCTTTGTAGACGGTGCCAAGTCCACCTTTGCCTAGAATACGGCTTTCATTGAAATTGTCTGTAGCCTTTTCCAGCTCTTGTGTGATGAAAAGCCTTGCTTCTAATACATTTCCTTGACTTGAAGATACCTTTTGTTGTAGCAACAAACCACCGTTTCTTTTGAAGAACCTCTTTTTGGCTCTGTCATCTTCTACTTTCTTCAGGTGACGGTGCGTCCAAAGGCAGCCTAATGCCAAGATTAGAAAGCCAATTGCAAGTCCAATGCCTGCCAAACAAAGTATATATCTGAGAAAAAAGGAATTGAAGAAAAGTTCTGCCTAAGAGATAGGTTGATAAGGGGGATGTACCTAACGAGATGAATGCAACCAATTTCCGTTTCACTCCATCTGGTAGGCATGCATGTGGTGATGATGGACCAAAATATTTCCCCCTGCGGTAACCTGGTGGACAAGTGCAGTAGTAGCTGCCAGGAGAATTAACGCAGATAGCGTCCTTAGGGCACTTATTCTTTTCAGGAGATTCACACTCATTGATATCTTCAATCAATTTTGGACAGAACCCAAAAAAAAAAAAAAAAAAGAAAAGATTATATATAGTCTCTTATTTATTCCTAATCACATGCAGATTGCGGGAAAAAAATGTATTTTAATGTGCAAGTCAAAATAAATAGTTTGAAGCATAAGAATATGGTTTACACCTCCACTCATTAATTATGTTTCTATGTTAATAATAACGTAGCTTAATCCTTTGATCTTTTGGAACCCTTACTCAACATAGGGTCCAAGAACCTTACATTCGTCTTTTTTTGAGCCGCAAGAATAATTACTTAAACCGTGCCATAAGAGGTCATTCTTGAAAGGGGACGCCGCTTCGTAGTCAATAGGGCACAGCAGGCCTCGCTAATGAACGAAACCAAAGGCATTTGAGTATGAATGGCACAGCTTAATGCTTTGATATCAAAAACCAAGACCATCTATAATGGACTGATTCTGGGTTGTCTGAATAATTTTGCACCTAAACCACTGACCAAAAATGTTTAGAAGAAATTATTTGTGACACATGACTCATGGTATTATATATCACTCCATATCCTTTCTCCCAACTGCGCTGTGGGATTTGAGGTATTACATTAATCTCTTTACAGAGATCAAACAAGATACGCTATAATACCTATTGCTATAATACCTATTGTAACATTACTGGTTTGTGCTAGTCAATAACTTTGAACCCAAATCAGTGATCTAAAATGGTTAAATCAAGTTATTAGCAATCTAATAATAAATCAATCCATATCCTTTCTCCTCCCCGATGTGGAATCTAGGGTATCACATTCAATGTAAAACTCATCTCACATCAATTAAAAGAAAAAGAGTGTAATCATATCCAATACATCTAGCATCACAGGCTACTAAGAACTTAGTTACATCATTTTAGACTAGTGGTTTATGTCAAAAAGTTATTGAGAAAGTTTAGATCTGTGGTGCTATAGTTGATATCATAATGAATCTCGTGTGGTCTTTCAATGGGGTGAGATTGTATCAACGATATTGAGCCACATTTACATGAAGGATTACAAAAACTAAATGCTATATGAAACTAAGTGCTACATAGGTCAACTTAAGAGCAGAAACCACTTCTAAAACCCATAAGGGCCAACTCATAACTCTAGATAACCAATTTTTGGATTATGGATTGAGCTTATGAGGAAGCAAAGGCCCAAGAGAAAATGAATGTGATACTTGTTCTGTGATACCTAAATCCTAGAGTTAGGAGTCTTTAGTGAAGGATAAAGAAATTTGAGGTTTTGATATGAAATATGAAACATTAAAGTGAAAATTAAGAGTGTAAAGAAATTGGAGAATTATGGTGCAAATTTGGGAACTCAATGGAAGAAGATGTTTCTTCTTCCTTTCTTCTTCTTAACCGAATGACCCTCCTAATCCTCTTCTCCTTTCTTTCTGCTTCTTCCACTAAAGCTCCTCCTCTTTCTCTTTTTTTTTTTTTCCTTGAAATCAAGAAGGATTCCTTGGGGAATCAAGATCAAACAAGGAGTAAAGAGCTAGGAGATTCCACCTTGCAAACTAAACAAAGGTAATTTCTTGTAGTTTTGAATCTAATTTTGGTTTCTCTTAGATTATAATGAATGGATTGTGTTGGCTCTAAATCCTTGGTTTACAATTATCGGTAGTAGAGTTTGGAGTTGGTTTTAGTCTCTACTTGTGTGTGGGTCAATATTTGGCTTGAAATGAAGATAGGTAATCTTGATGGAAATCGTAGGATTCGGGTTGAATGCATTGTTTTTTAGTTTATGTATATAATAATATGATTTTAGGATGTAAAAATATTAATTTTGATGATTATAGAAGCTTGGAGATGAGTTAAGGTGGAAATAGGACTTGACAACCGAAACTGGTAGTAGCTTCTACCTCAAATCCGACCCCTGAATCCGTGGCTGAATTCCACTTGGATGCTTGGGCTGGATTCGACTCTCTGTGCTGTCATACTTCAGTGTTTTGGTCATATCTTTGTGTAGAAAACTCATAATTGAGCATCATTTATTGCGTTAGAAATTAGACTCGCAGGGTTTTAAGTATTTGTAAAGATCTCACCCTAGTTTTATACTTATGAGAATTGGTAAATTTTCAAAATTGACCCTTTTGTTTCACTAAAATGAGATGATGATATTTATTATAGGTCATAACTTTGGGTTGGTGTTTGGGGTCCTTTTTATGACAATTTAGTACGAATAAGAGTCTTTAGAATTTAATTAATTACTTTGTTATATTTATGTGAGTTCTTTTGGGATGGCTCAGGATTGAGTTGAATGCTAGCTCACTTGATGAAGGCAACGGGTGCATGTGCTCTTTATCTTTTGAAATTACATTTGTCAACATCTTGTGGCTTTAAAAGCCATTTTACATATTGAAATGGCATGAGCAGTTTTATATAGGTTATTACTTGGGGTTGGTGTTTGGGGTCCTTTTCATGATAATTTAGTATGAATAAGAGTCTTTAGAATTTAATTAATTACTTTGTTATATTTAGGTGAGCTCTTTTGGTACAGGTCAGGATTGAGTTGGATGTTAGCTCACTTGGAGAAGGCAAGTGGTGCATGTATTCTTTATCTTTTGAAAATACATTTGTATATATTGAAATGGCATGAGCATATGTATTATTATTGATGTATTCTAAATACAAAATTGTTATTGAATTAATACTATATTGTTGAACTCTTGTATAATGTTACTTTGATGAGACTAGTTCCTTAAATAATAGTAACATTGATGAAGTGGATGTTATTGTTATCATTGAATATGCTAACCATGAGATAGTTAGCCCTCCATCATTGGAGGGCTAATTACATGATAGTTAGCACCTTGAACAGCTTAACTGGTTTCTTAACAATTGAATATCGAGGGTCATTGGTTAACTTTATATCTTGACCTCACTTATAATTCTGAACATTATGATGCATGCATTATAATTGAAATATTGATGATGATCACGCCTTGCCATTGAGTTGCTTACATTGACCGCATTTTTTGAAGTTATATATATGTGTATATATATATATATATCAATGAATATTTGAATCATATTTATGAATCATTTATGTATCAATGAATATATATTATTAGTTCCTTATAAGTTATGCAAGTATTTAAATATGATTGATTATGTATTTGTATTAATGTTGACAACGCAGGGCATTGTATTCAATATTTGATGATATTTAAATTTTTTTTTTTTAACTTTACACTTTGTGCCTTGTGTTATGTCCCCGATATGGCCGTGACATGTTCCACATTGGTTAATGAAAAGTTTCACAGCTTCAAGCCTAAAATATCACTCAATTTCGGATTCTGTACTCACCAAACAAGTCGTATCGTCCAATTCACCTACTTCGTGTCAGTTGAAACAGACGGAACTCTTTTTTCCAAAGCCGAAGTGACGGAACTCACGGTCACGTTTTTCAGCAAGGACAATATTGATTTTTTCTTTTTTTGGCCACATCCCCTCTTCCTCAGAATAGACTAAATGAGACCTTAAAATAATTTGATAATTTCTAGCCCTCTTTATCTTTAACATAAAATTCTTTTTTCTTTTTTGTTTAAAATTTGATGCACCGCTGAATTTCACTATGGATCACTAAATATAATTAGGTGGTTTATTCTTTCTGTTCAATATATTCTCCACAATCTAATTTCACCATGACAAGGATTTTGCTGTGCTTAATGTGGGGTAAATTATATATAACCCACTTATAGTTTTGCATAATGCTAGATTTTGTTTGCTTAATGTTAGATGATCCTCCCTAAGGTTTCAGAAATAGCCATATAACCCTCTTGTGGTTTTATGCAAAGTGGAAAATGAACGGAGTGCAGAATTAATTACAGTAATTGGAGCACGTACATTCTAAAAACACATGTAATGAAATCATAATATCCACTTAGCCCCCTATGATTAGCATAAAAATCTACTTTATATGAAACCGTGGGGAGTGAGGTGCATATTTTGAAATATTAGAGGGGTTATATGATAATAGATGAAACTATAAGGGGTTATTAGTAATTTATCCTTTAATGTGTCAATTTGTCCTACGTCTAGTTTCTTCAACTTACAGCTTATTTTTTTTCTTGGGAAATTGCTTCCAAGAAAATTATTCCACATCTCTAATTGCCTGCTTCTATGCCCTCTTCTAATGATTACATTTTGAATTAAAGTATAATAATGGTTTCTAATTTTCTATGTTACTTTAGTACTCAATTCTACTCCGCTTGTGTCCCAAGAGAATTCTTAGAACAAACAAGTAAACAGTAGCAAGACTGACATCCAACACGTGGATGAATCTGCTCTGGTGGTGTGTTAATAAAAGTAAAAAAACTGCCAAACTTAATTTCATAGCGAAGTTGAACTGGAGAAAGCCAAAATGATAATTGTAGAGAGATGCACTGAAATGGTTTGAGGAAGAGGGGCTGTAGAGAGATGCAGAAATCATGCAACAGTTCTTGCTGTTGAAATGGTGTGTGTGATGCAGGTAACCATGTCTTGCAGCTCTTTTAACTGATAAAATAGACAAAGTTCTTCAGAACGAGAAATAATTGAGACAAGTAAGATTTTGGAATAGTTTGATAACGCACTTTACTCAAATATCAAACCATCCTGGTATGTTTAATCTAAAATCATTAATTGTACCCTACTTTTTGTATGGATTATACTTCACATCATGCAATAAAATCCTCTGAAATAAACAAATATATGTAGAGTTTGTTCTCAACTGATTCTGACTTTGTAAGAGTTGATTTTATAAAAATTGATGCTCGAAAATCAGATTTTTAAGAATAATTCATGTATTTTGGGTTACTATGAAAAAGACATTTTAATAAATGCATAAGTGTTCTAAAAAAAAAGTTTAAAAAATCGATTTTGACAATAAAATGACCATGTTACCCTTATATGCTGGATAAAATGAATATTTGTGCTAATTAAATATTTTTTAATGTAATAATTTACTTTTCTTTTGAAGATTAAATAGTGGATAAAAAACCAAGAGACGCATAAATGAATCTGGAAGTGAAGTGAGACGAAATTTATTTTTTTTTGTCTGTGATTCAGCAATCCCAACGTTTCTTTTTGATGCAATCAAATGAGGAAAAATCTTTTTTCACTCTCTTTACATAACATAAATACTGTTAAGAGTCTTCCAAAATAAAAACAAAAAGGTTTGTGACGCTGAAGTGGACTCCCGATAAGTGAAGTGAGACGAAAATAGAAAAAAATATAAAGACTATCAAAGGTTATCTAATCTTTAGATAGTTTAATGTTCCTGTTGAAATTTGAAGGGTCATCATCAGAATCGAAAAGCACCTCAAGATTTTCAACAAGAAGAAGGTCATACGGCAAAAAAATTGTAAAACAAGAATTCCCTAGAGATAATCTTCAAATTAGATTACCTTGGCAACCGTCGTGGAGATAAGGATTCCCTCGAAAACCTTGCAAGCATCTACACGAGTATCCGACTCCAGTACTTGAATTTATGCATTGACTGTTTTCTCCACACACGTAACTGCTCTTTTCCACAGCTTCATGGCAGCTAATATTTCCAATTCCCCAGTTCAGAACTGTAGGAACCCCATCGCTGCCTTTACAACTCGAAAAGTTAAACTTGTTGAAGTCGGAGAAATCCTTATGTGCAATCATGAGAAAGCTACACAGATCAGACTCCCATGATTTTTGAAAGGTGTTCATGGTATGCACGGACAATAGCATCATCCTGAGTTCCATTGGGACAGTGGTCTGGCAGCAACGATTAAATCCAGAGCAAGATGATGGAGGAGGCAACAAACTAATGGATGAATTACGGCAGAAGGATGGGCAACCGCCAACAATATGAGCAGTTATCGGATCAATGATATAAGAATATATATCACATCCAATGGCTACAAATTTGTTCCCAGTATGTGAAAAACTAAACTGATAATCACCTCTGAATGGGGAATATATTACTGTATGCCGGCTTTGGCCAGATGACTTATTGTAGCGGAAGGGAACAAGCTGACCTTCAATAACAACATGGTCTTGTTCAATCTCATACACCTTGGACTCAAAACTTATTAAGGTAGCAGAATATGATGAAGTGTTGCAAGTGAGCTCAAATGATTGGCTAAGGTAACAGCCTTCTCCGATTCCAAACGGGTAAGGAATTGTCAAATTGCCACATTTATCAGGGCAATTAGGCTTTGCTACAGATGCTGCAGCTTCATGTAAGAGGGAAAATGCTGAGATGATGGATATGAACTGAACTGCAGAGCTGATTTTTCGATGCATATTTTGTTGCCGAAATGTTTTCTGAATGTATGATTTTGTAGAGTGCATGATTGAAGGTAGGATATGGGAAGCCATCATTTGAATTGGTTACATGAATCTTGCTCAAGAAAGTCCGTGTCATGGAAAAAGGTGCTATATTGTATCCATCTTTTTTAAGCAAGTTGAATTTAAAAAGGTCACCAGATAAAACACAAAAGATTGAAAAGGAAAAGAATGTTAAAAGAAGTGAAACAAAAGAAAGATAGGCATAAACAAAAGAATGATTGGCATTCTTCAATCATTCTTTTGAATGTTTACGTACGTGGCTACGCTGCTGCAATCACTTTATCTAGAAGATGTAATCAATTTTATTTAAAAAATTTAACCAATTATATTGTTATATCCAAAGATTTGTCGGCAGCATTACACTATTTTTGCAACTTTCTATATAATAATAACAATAACAATAATAGAATAACTTTTTGTTACACTATCTGTATATAATTTTTTAATATTAGTAGATTTAGATCATATCACATAGCATGAATCTTTATACATATGTGAAAATAGCTATTTTAATTAGAATGTTTCTTACTCCTATGTAGCATGCCTAATTTAAGAGACTTAACGAGTTACGGGTCATTTGGATTTTATCCATATTAAATATTATATTATATGTTTAAAAATTATCCCTAATTTTAAAATAAATTTGAAAAATAACTAATCTTATCTTAATGATATCTGTTTTCTATCAAATTATTACATAGAACTATAGTAAAACCTTTTTCAAATTACAATTATTAAAATCATACATATTCCATAAATTACTTCATTTCATCATCATATTGTTGATTAGTATTCAAATTGTTCATCATCTCTTCCCTTAATTTTTAATTAACTAGTATAAAATAAAGAATTAAATGTTACACCGACAAAATTACTAATGTTGTTGGAAACTAAATATTTAGTGATGAAGAAAAGCAGATTGTTGGATCTTTTCTACTTAATTTAATGTGAATATATAGTTCTAGATTTATGGTCATTATAAAAATTTAAATTATCTAAAAGAATATTTATATATATATAAAAAGAATATCTGCCAAGTTTTTGATATGGGATACATTATTTGATGTATGCTATCATATTTTAGTGAAAGTATGTAAACAAATATTTAAAAATTAGTAAATAATTGAACATTTAGAATACATTAATTTTTTAAAGTTAATATGAATGAACTTGTAGGATTGTTATTAATTTTCATATTTAAATTATTCATATTTGTATAAATTCACAATAAATAAAAAAAATACCGTGCTAAAACACGGGCAAAATTCTAGTTTAAATTTAAAATTCAAATCATACACATGTGACATATTTTCAAAACTGCTAATGTAAAAAAAAAAAAAAAATCATTGAACTGTCAGTGTATAAAAAATTAATCCATGATAAATAATAATCTCTACATTTTAAAAAGGCCGAAGGTTTGATGAAAAGTTAGGTATCATCCTCCAACCTGTTCTGTTGGTTTGTTCGTTGTTTTGTTCATACCCAGTGGCCATTTTGTCCTTTTAGTTGTGCCCTTGCCGTCTGTATTTTTTGTGTACTTTTCACCTTGCTGGTTTCCCACCTTGGTATTTATCCTGTATTTTGTAATACCCCTTCCATATGCTATTTATTTCGGTTTTGACCCATACTTTTGCTGCATGCCTTACCAGTCCTTTTGGCAATTGTCTCCCCCGAACCTGGATATTTTTTTCTGGATGAGACAGACCTTTTAACCCATTTGCTCTGCATGTAAAGACTGTATGATTGGCCTTGTATTATACTGTTTCTTTCCATGCCATTCATTTAAATTTTGGATTCCATACAAAGTTATTAAATCCAGCCCGACAAGGAACGAGAGAGGAATCAAGTCAATGGGTCATAGTAAGTCACAGGTTGAACTGGTGGATATTAATTAAATATTCATAAATAAAAAAAGAGAAATTTTAATATACATAAAATATCCAATAAAGTGCTATTAGATACTAATTATTGCACTTAGATATATTATGAATACATAGATATTAATAGAGGATATAATTTCATTTTATTGTACTTTTACATAAATAAATAATATAATCAAATATAAAATAAAGTGTCACTTGTTTTAAAAAATATAGCATTATATTTTCATTATTTTATTTTTGTTTAAAAACAAAATAATTTTCAAACCACTCAAATATTGTCAATTTGAAAGTTAAAAGGATTAATTGTATAATAAAAAAGTAAACAAGTTTATTAAAAAAATTTTAGTTATCATATAAGAACTAAGTAAGGGATAAAGTCTTATACGCATAAAAAACCAGGTCAATTGAAAAATCGGACAGGTTCCTGATTGAATCAGTGGGTCAAATGGGTTTCATCGGGTTTGATTAGATCAATTCCTTATCTGGTCAAACTAAAAACTTGGCCCGACCTAACGCTCTTGTCATCGGGCCGATCGGTTCAACTGTCAAATTAAGCTGAGTTTGATAATTAACTATGATTCCATATTGCAATTATTACTACCGCATGCACAATCAATATGCTTTGAATCAATTTCCTATATGGCTTTTGCTTTGCTAATACCCCTCCTATTGTAATTAGTGTCTTTCTATATGTGTCTCCAGCTACATTTCTCATTGACTTACATTAGATGATGATTCTCTTAGGCTTCTTTTGCACCATTTTATTCGTGAAGTAGGCTGTTTTGTAGTTGCATTTCGCTTTTTCCAATTAGGTTATTGCTTAGGTCCATGCTTTTTTCTCTTTGGTTCTACAGATTACACTCTGTTCTCCAATTTGGTTCTTTCATCAAATATGCTAACCCCTTCCGCGCACATGCAACATTTATATTTATTATGTTAAATAATCATATGCATCGCACTGCATTTTACTTTTTTTTTTTTTAATGTAGATCACAACCTCTTTGTTTCTATGCTTATCTTCTTTTCTGCATTCTCATCATTCATATATTTAGTTCTACTTTATTTTCAATTGTTTTATCTCTGTATATCATAATTGCTCCCCTGTATCTTGTATCCATGTTGTACTGAAAATAAAAAGGCCTACTATTAGAGTATCAATGGTTCAAAAGAAGAAATTGTTATGAGCCCAAGATCACTGTTCTCATGCAAAAATGTACAAAAAAAAAAAACACATCTATTCATGTCATTGTTCAGATTCATTTACTAACCCTCTTAATCAACAATTTCAGTCTTCCTCTCAGAGCAAGAGCAGCTAATGACTAGATTCTTCTTTTACATGATGCTGACATACAATGATTTTAGAAAATTTTGTGGGACTCTGAACAACAAAAAACCTATTTAGTTACGTAAAAAACATTCTAGGCACATCACTAACTCTATCTATGTTGACCAACTACTACCAGGAAATGTGCAGTCCTATTTAGCACTAGATTACAACAGAATGATCACTTGTGGTTGCAGTAAAACAAAATGGAGATTTCGACTTGAAGATGCTCAACTCACAATGAATTGGTCTAAGTTTATTGAAAAACATCAGTTAGCTGAAGGATACTTATCTATCTTCAGCTTGCTTCCACACCATCTATGTGACATCTAGATCTTTGATAGGGATCTCATACAACAACAATGGTCATATATTAAACAGTTATTCAAATCCCGTCCATTTAACGCAGTCAAAGTTATCAAGTTCCATTTTTTTTTTCAGCTATACATTTATCAAATTCAACAATCAAACCCATTCACTGAATCACACTCTCTATTAGTCTAGAAACACAGGCACAAAACCAAAAAATAATTATGCACAAATTACGGTAAACCTTGCGCGAAGAGTAGGGTATCACCTAGTAATAACAATAAGGGCAAATTTCACTTTAACCCCCTTATGATTTGGATTAAAGTGTTAAAGTGACGGGAATGATCATTCATAACAGCGTCACGTAAAATGTCAAAAATACCCTTATGTAAAGTTGAAATTTATGTATTAACCAAGGGGGGTTATGTGTATATTTTGAAAATCATAAAGAGGTTGTATGGTAAAGTATTAAACCATAAGAGGGTTATATGGTAAAATATAAAAATCATACGGGGTAATGTGTCATGTATTTATAAGGGTAATTTCGACATTTTTAGAAGTTCTGTTACTAGTAACTACTTCCGTTACTTTGACACTTTAATCTAAACCATAAGAGGGTTATGCATAGCTTTTGAAATCATAGGGGGGTTATGTAAAAAATGGTAAACCACAGGGGGTAAAATATAACTTATCCTAGGGGAAAGTACATAAAACCCCCCTGCGGTTAAGGAAATTGACACGAAACCTCTTCATTATTTAGAAACTCCCACTTAACCCCCCCCTGTGCTTTGGACTTGTTTGGATTTTACCTGCTAACCGGCTGGGGAGCTAGCGAGTGATATTTACGCGACTTAATGGTAACTTGTGTCTAGCAGAAACTCATTTCATTCCAATTTTGTCCTCCATGTCTCTTCCAAGCTTGCACCCACCATAGTTGTAGATCTGCAAATGAAAAATTTCGACAGAGAGATGCAAAACGAAGACCCAAAAACGTAAAGAGCTCAGCGCAACTTTGGATGGATCTAGAAAAGCTTTGGAGGGGCTAAATCAGCTATCATTTCAAGGAAGAACCCAAAATTGTCAAACTCCCAAAATTTTGGCGGTGGATCGAGAGACCTAAGGTACCAAAATCGGCGTTGTTTCTGCAACAATAAAGCAAAGATTAAGGTAGTAGAATCTGAAAAACCATCAAAAGGTATGTTGTATTATGTATGTGAAACTGGTGCTTGTTCATTTTGGGTATGGTGCAACCCAATTAGTAGAGAGGGAGGCACTAATGAATCATCCTGCCAAAGTCCATACGTGGAAGGGGTTTCATCAATTCGACCTGCAACCGCGGAAAGATTTATCATCTCTGGGCAAGGAATAGAAAGTAATAACTATAACATTATTATGGGATTACAATCGAAGATTCACAATGTCGAAGCAACGATAGGGCAGATGAAGATGATGATGATGCTTACTGTACTTGTGTCTCTTTTGTCACTGGTCGTTATATGTATGAGATGAATTTTGGGCAAAAAGTGTAATGTTTGGCTGTTTGGCCGTGTAATAGAATCTGGAGTTGGGAAATTGTAGTGAAGTTGTTTCAATTTGGAGTTGATTTTCATGTTTGAATTATAAATGAGCATCTGAAGCTGCTTTTGTTCAAGACATTGAAAAAGCCTGCTTCTGGTGTGGGACATATACAGAAAAACCTGAGATACCCAATTAAATGCAATGAAGTTGTTATATTAAGTCATCAGATGCAAAGATATAACCAGCAATATTGATCTCCATAAACACTTGTCAGATTTAGTCATCTTCAGCAAAGATATGGCCAGTGATATTGCCATCCATATTACTACAGCCAGACATGATAAATAAGCGAAGACGTGCCATCCATAAACACAAAAATCAACTCATTACTACAACCATACCACAATGGTATCCTACCATAACATGGTCAAAAGGTTCACCAGCATTGCTATACAGTTACAAATGCAACAGTCGATCAAAACATAGCCAATTTATCCGAGTACAATACCATAATGGCATCAGTCAACCAAACGATAGCCACAGTCAACGAAATCATTCACACAAAAAACATAATACAATCTCCACGAGAGCAACAGTCAACCAAAAAATAACCAAAAATCTGGGTACAATGAAAAATATTGCAACATCCATCCATACCATAATGGCATCAGTACATTCAACCAATAAAATGACATATTCTACTTGGCATAAGCAGTATTGTTAATCAACAAAATCAGGAAAACAGCTTTTCATTTTCTTGGTCTCTTGGAGCCACAATGTCGCAACCTTGACATCCTTGAAGTTGCAGCAGGTTGCTTTCTCTTTGAGAATCTGCTTTGCTGGCTTTCTTGGTTGGTACCACCTATAGGCTGATTTGGCTCCTACACGTACCTCGTCATGGTTAGTATATATGTAAGTATAATCCAGCATCCAAAAATGTTTGGCCAGTACTCTCTAGTACCTATGAAAGTGTAGTAGCAGTACTTGAGACGCTTGCCTGAGCAGCAGAAGCTACGGATGTTGCATTTGAAGCTGTTTGACCAACTTTAGGTGCCTACAGTCCAAATCAAAATGAATTAGTATATAAGTAGCAACAAAACACACTAAACCATATTACAGTAGAGTGTAAAATGTTACATTACTTTGTAAAGTTTAGACTTAGGGTCAATCGCTGATTTGCAAGTACGTATGTTATGTCCAGTTTTCAAACATCTCCGACAGTAAACTACAAGTCCTTTCCTACTTGCTTTCTGCTGATTTGTAAGCTCTTCTGGACCCTTCTTTCTCTGTTTTTTTTGGCCTATCAGGCTGTTTTTTCACCAATGGTGGGTTCAAATATTGCATCTTGCTATCTACCCAGAACTGCTTCGAAGGAACGGGACCAATTGTGAAGTTGTAGGCCCTTAAATATGCTTCCCTATGGTAACAAGCATCAACATATTCCTCGAATTTCAGCTTTCTGCTCTGAATGCAGGCAACCGCATGCACGCAAGGAATGCCACTAAGCTGAAAATGACCACAGGTACAAGTTTTCAACTCCAAATTGACAACATTTGTCCTTCCATAGCCATCAACTTTCAAATTTCCATTTCCTCCGTAAACCGCAACACAATTTCTTGCCTTTATCTTAAGTTTCTCCAATTTCTCATAAATGTTTGGACATAAAGTTCCACCATGTTTCAGCATGCCTTCTCGTTTGGTTACCAACATTTGCATTAATCTCCTCCGAATCCACTCCAGCATTGTTATTATTGGCTCTCCTCTAGCTTTTAGAATGTAATTATTCCATGACTCACTCATGTTGTTAATGCAAGTGTCACTCCTACAAGCTGTACTAAAATGAGCTCTAGACCATAATTTTGGAGGCAACTGTTTGAACCATCCCGCAGCTGTTAGCTTGTCACCTTCCTGTGGGTTAGCCCTCTCAAGATTTGAAAGGGCAGTTTCATGCTCCGGCATGCTTGCTGCTGCAGCTACCTCCCAAAACAGATCTCTAAGGTTTTGATCCTTGAATCTTTGTTTGAAGTTCTCGAACATATGTTTCAAATAGAATCTGTGCTCTGATTCAGGAAATAATTCTTCAATTGCATGGACAAGACCCTTTTGCCTATCTGAGATGAAAGTGTAAGCCACTCCTTTGTTTCCTCTTCCAATTTGGCTGATTAATTCCCGCAAAAACCAACCCCAACTGTTGTAATTCTCAACCTCAACAACAGCAAAGGAAATAGGGAACATATTTTCATTGGCATCCCTACCCAAGGCTGTAAGCAGCTGACCTCCAAAGGGACTCTTGAGGAAGCAGCCATCTAGACCTATGATAAGTCTACATCCTTGTAGGAAACCATTTTTCAATGCACCTAAACCATAATATATCCTCTGAAATGTAGCCCTTTCCTCAATATTTCGCTTATCAATTTGCAATGAAATATGACTATCAGGATTGGAATTTTTTACAGTAGCTACATAATCCCAAAGTCTGTGGTATTGCTCCATGTCATTGCCCCTGAGTGCCTCTAATGCTTTTTGCTTTGTCCTGGCAGCTTTTTTTTGACTAATGTCTAGCATGAACAATCTTCTTGTCTCATTCACCATGCCAGGAATACTACACCCAGGATCATCTCTCACTTTGGCTTGAAATTTATGACTCAGATATGTTGAGGTGGCATGTCGATTGCTGTAATCCCTGCCACAATGGTGATCTCCCTTAAGAGTCTTGATCATAAATGTCTTTGATCTCTGGATTCTGCTTGCATGAATCCTCCAACTACACCCCTTTGCACATTTAGCTGTGATTCGAGACCCCTCATTTCTGATGTACTTGTGCTCATATCCCTCCCTAATACCCCATTCCACTAAAACCTCTCTAAACTTATGAAAGTTGCTAAATTTCTGGCCAACCTTTAATTCAAAGTGCTCTTTTCTAAACTCTTCATCCGCATTGAAGTAGTTGTAGACAGGGGTGCTTTCATCATTAGGACCTATTCCTCTGTCAAACAGGTTTTCATCATCATCTACTGCCTCATTCCAATCCTGTTCCTACTGATTTTGTTGTTGTTGTTGATGTTCATCTAAACCAGCTTCTGGGTTTTCGGTTGGTACTTTTTTATCATTTCTTGCCTTCTTTCTCTTGGACTTGTCACCAGCATCATGTATCTTCTCTTTATGTGGTCCCATAACAGCTGGATTTGACTCCATTTGTGATGACTTTTCTTCGCAGACGTCCTTTGCTTTGTTGTTAATGTCTGGAATGTCATTATTGTCCCCACTCCCAATTACTTCCTTGACCATGTCATCCTTGCCTTTAACAGTTGAGGACGAACTAATCTCAGCCTGCCAGGCATCATGATATGGAAGTGCAAGTATGCCATCACCAGTCACTCTCTTGTACAGTAATTTTCCTTCCGGGGACACAACTTCAATGGGATCAGACCCCCTCTCAGCATATATGTGCATTTCTTTAAGCCCCTCATAACATGTTATCAATAATTCGATGTCCACATCATCATTGATGCTAACCACACCAACATCAAGGTCATGAAAGGGAATAGAGTACCAGAAATTCATATTTGTAACGCCGTGCTCAATGGTTTGGTACATTTTTTGAAACTATAATACGGATAATTCATCAGGGTCGAAATCACAAAATACCCTCACATGTTGGCCAGTGTATCTAATTCTTGGTTTCCATTTGAAATATCCACCATAATGCAAGTGTATGTCTACGGTCTGCCACAAATTATCTCCCATTTTTATGCACCTAATCCAAAGTAACCAAGATTAGTTTACTAATTTCGTTTTCAAGTGTATCAAAAAATAGAGATTCATTTACTCATTTGCTTTTCAGATGTATCAAAAAGGACATGCAATATTTCATACACTCAGTTTCAAAAACATAAAAAATGAACAACAACACACTTATCTAGAAGGATGAAAAACATAATCAAGACCAGAATGGACCAATGAAAATTCGATTACTCCACAAAAACTCATATTTTTTTGCAGTATATTGCAATTTTTTAAATAATTGCACCCAAACATTGTCAGAAAAGCTTCTGACTAAGTCAAATCTTGACATTTTGCGTATTGTTATAAAAAAGCAAAAAAAATTCCCACAAACATTGTCGGAAGACTGTCGGAAAAGCTTCTGACCAAGCCGAAACTAACATTTTGCAATATTTACCAAATTTTAAAAACAAATTCCCAAAAACATTGTTGGAGACACTTCTAACTAAGCCAAACATGGTGGTTCCTTTACCAAGTTTCAAAATATCCCCAACAATTTAGTACCAAAACACCTGCCATCAAACAAATCAACTCGTCTAATGCATAAGGTTCATATATGTATTTTACCTGGTTCAGATATGCTCAATGCGTTGCGACTCTCGACCGATCTACACATAAACGTCGATCCATCTGCACTGAAGCACCGACCGATGTTCTTGGCTGTAGGTTTCCCGATCCGCAGCACACAAACACCTTCTTTTTGGAATTAGGTTTAGGGTTTCTCTCTGAACATGAAATGTATCTCAAGTCCGACAGATCTTCACCATAACTCGCACCGCTCAACAATACAGTTACCTTCTTCTTCGTTATAGGTTTAGGGTTTCTCTCTCAGTTTCTTTCATCCGCTCCAGATTGACTCATTGCATCTGTAACTTTTCACATATTATATATGAGGGTATTTTTGGTATTTCATATTATTACCGGCTCCCCAGCCGGTTAGTAGGTAAAATCCAAACAAGGCCAAAGCACAGGGGGGGTTAAGTGAAAGTTTCTAAATAATGAGGAGATTTCGTGTCAATTTCCTTAACCACAGGGGGATTTTATGTACTTTACCCTTTATCCTAACAATAAGTACCTTAGTATGGAATGTAACCTGGAAAGTCAAGGAAAATGTAGGACTTGACATTGTAGATTTATAAAACCAAGAAAGACTGCGAGGAAGAATATTTAATTTTAACTTTCCCAGAAATGAAAAGTAAAATGCTAAAAAAAAAAAACGTTTGTTGTTGTACATAAGCCTTAGGTCAATATCAGTGTAAACTCTCTGTCCAGTGTGTAGGAATGAACTGGAATATAAAATCCTTTCCAACTTATTGATTTCATTCTCACATTTGGTATAAACCATTTCAGTTAAAAAGCTTTTCTACTTAGAATGTCCATTCCAACTTTTTTTTTTTTTTTATGGATTCTCCATTTGTTACAAAATCCTTTCCAACTTCATTTTAGAATGGCCAAGATAGAAGGATGTCAAGTATTCTGTCCGTCCTACAAAAAAAAAAGTCTACTTTTATTTTTACACGGATTCAGAAATGAAAGTTGAAGTAGTTAAAGTATTCATTGTTGTTTCTTGATTTCCGATGTACCTCTCCGTTGATTCTAGTTTAAGTATTGTGTTTATTATTACCACTAAGATTTTGACTAATAGAGAAGCATATTTGTTGATAAACATGCACATTGAGTATAATAGTAAACTAATAAACTAACTACCCTTTGAAAAACAAATGAACCTATAATTTGGGACAAATACAAAAGGAAAATAAGCTTATCTTTTTGGATAGAACAAGTATATCTTGATACCTATTAATTAATAAATTATTTTATTTTTACTAATAAATTATTCTATTTATGTTTAAAATAGTTTATTCCCTTTTTTGGCCTGCAAACGAATGTTTAAGATTTTTTTTCCTTTTTAACTTTTGAAGAATTGCGTACTACTATTTTTGTTAATTTTGGCTTTGACAATGAAAATGAAAGGAGCATAACTAGTATAAATCCAGAGTGCAACCAAAACTGCTCGAGGTCATATATTAATCTTTGGAAGACAAATAGGAGTGCTATTACAAGAATTATTACATTCTAAAGAAAACATCCAGGGGTTGATCTAAAATTACTCTGGGTCATCGTCAGTAATTAATCAACATTGCAACAATAAGATCTTTCACTCGCAGAGCAATGAACATCCTGCAAACTTTCTTCACCCACCGACCCATTTTTTATCTCCTTAGTTGCTCAAGTTCTGCAACTATTTCTTTCATATGAGGCATTTTCCTTGCATTGAGTTTTAGACATCTTTTGGCAAGCCTAACAGCTGCAACAATTTCCTCTTCTAGTCCTTCATCTGCAACAATTTTGTCCACAATTTCAAACAACTGATTTTCCTTGATTGATGTTCTAAACCAAATAATTAGACCTTCATCAGATTTAGCTGAAGAGACAGCCTTTTGGCCGGTTAGAAGTTCGGCAAGAACTTCGCCAAAGGCATAAATTCAGTTTTATCGTTGAGTTGCCCTGACCATGGTTCGCCATCGTGGGTTGTGGTCGCATCGCGATCTCAGTTGTTCCACATCTGTTGCGGCATATCGGTTCAATAACGTATGATATGCATATTATAACACATGAAAGTTTTCAAAAATTTCGAAAAAATTACTAAAATTAGAAAGACACCAAAAAAGTCACAATTTAAAAAATATTCCAGTTGACTCCGAGTTGACTCGGATATATCGGCCGATATCATGCATCACGGATTCGAATCGGCCGAATCAGAGCGAGTCATCGTGAATATTATCATATTCACAATTCGGAAATCGGTATCGTACCGGTCCCCTCCATTCCAGTTACAACCCGGTCGATCTATCGGTATCGGTATCGGTATCGGCCGATATTGCCAACCATGGCCCTGACCGAAAGTACTCTGGGTCTAACTAACCAAATGTGCTTCCGACTAGTGTAGTTAAGTGCGTTTTATCAAGGAACACTGATCTTGAAAGTCCAAAATCCCAGACAAATGCCCTGTAGTTCTCATCTAACAATATGTTGCTTCGAATTATATCCCTTTGAAAAATGGCTGTAGAAGCATACAAGTGCAAATAACGAAGCGCTGCTGCAACTTCCGTGGCAATCCGCAAACGATTCTCCAAGTGATAATTCCAGCACTACGATCATCATGAAGGAGCTGGGAAAGGGTGCCATTTGAAACATATTCATAAACAAACAACGGTACTTCAGTTTTCGAACAGCAACCTAACAATTTCTGTTGGATATTAGGCCAAGAATTGAGAGGAATATTTGGAGACAAGGGTGGCTTCAATTGTTCTTTTTCTTTTATTTCTTTCACACACTTATATTGGTTTGGAGTTTACAAGGTCTATTTATGATCATTCTAGATACATAGAGAAATGTTCCAACCATCCCACCAACTCTCTTAATTTCCATCATTCTAGAGAATATTGCAACTATCTAGAAAACTTTCCAACTACCCCATTAATCAAGCTAATTGATTTAGCACATTATTCAACATATTCCCCCCTTAATGTGCTGTCCTTGAACTCCAAGCATCTCTCGAAAATAATTGAACTTGTCTTTTGGAAGTGCCTTGGTAAAGATGTCTGCAACTTGATCTTCACTCTTGCAAAATTTTAGTTCAACTTCACCATCTTCAATTGCATCTCGAATAAAATGGTGCTTGATTGCAATATGGCGAGTTCTGCTATGATAAACTGGATTTTTTGCAATGTCAATTGCTGATTTGTTGTCACAGAACATCACCGTAGCTTCCTTTTGCTTCTCACCAATATCTTCAAGAATTCTCCTAAGCCAAATGGTTTGTGATGTTGCCAAACTTGCGGATACATATTCAGCTTCAGCTGATGATTGTGCCACGCTTTGTTGCTTCTTTGATGCCCAAGAAAATACTCCAGAACCAAGCGAAAAACAATAGCCTGAAGTGCTCTTCATATCATCAAGGCATCCACCCCAATCACTATCACAATAACCATGCAGATTTAAAGTAGTGCTTTTGCAGAATTTGATGCCATAATCGAGTGTCCCTTTGATGTATCTTAACACTCTCTTGGCTGCTCCAAGATGTAATTGACTGGGATTGTGCATAAACCTTGATAATAAACTTGAAGCAAACATGATATCTGGCCTTGTAGCTGTGAGATAAAGCAAATTTCCCACCAAACTTCTATACAAAATGGAATCAACTTTCTTTTCACCATCTTCCTTGACAAGCTTTTCACTTACAACAAGTGGTGTAGCCATAGGTTTACAATCAGCCATGCCAAATTTCACAAGAATATTTTCAGCATATTTCTTTTGACAAATAAAAGCTCCATCACCATGTTGATAAAACTCCATACCAAGAAAATGATGTAGCAGTCCCATATCATTCATTTCATATCTTTTCATCATGTCTTTCTTAAAATCAGCAATCATCTTCTCATTGTTACTAGTGTAAAGCAAATCATCAACGTATAAAGCAACAATGAGAATGTTTGAGTTACCTTGAGTTTTCACATATAAGGTTGGCTCACTTTTACTCTTCTTGAATTCTTGCTACATGAAGTAAGAATCAATTTGACTATACCAAGCCCTTGGAGCTTGTTTCAATCCATATAATGCTTTCTTCAACTTATACACTTTGTCTTCTTGTCCTTCTTTGACAAAACCTTGAGGTTGTTGAACATACACCTCTTCCTTCAATTCTCCATTCAAAAAGGCAGATTTAACATCAAGTTGGTAGAGATTCCAACCTTTTTGGGCTGCTATGGCAATGAGAG